ATAACTCTGTAATTATTAGTATTTTATGAATGATTTCATGATTTTGGTTTTGGCGTCGCCTTTTTGGCTTGAATGATTTTTACTTAGTAATACGTATATGGCGTATACGCTACGTTAACTAGCTTTTACCAATAAAACTGTATATAAAAAAAACAACCCATTATCATTGAATGTCTATGCTGCCCTGTACAGACGATGAGACCCGAACCAAATCTAAGTTTCGCCTGTAGTCGACACGCAGTGGTTGATCCAGTTTGCTCTGGACTCAACCTCGAGTTGTTTTCGGCGGGCACACACCCTGCCCTCGCACTGTACCGGGTGTAACTGAGAATGCGCAGCAGTGTTGCGGGTTTGCCTACCCCGTCAGCCCGTAAGGCGCCACGGCCCCTGCAGCCCTGGCGGGTATGCAATCCCGCAACACTGCTGCGCATTCTCAGTTACACCCGGTACGCATCTGCCCCAGTTTGTACCGGTCACTAAACTGCTCGCAAGGTTTTCGTTGTACCCTAGCCGGTGGTGGCCTTCCCCCGACTGGCGCAAAGTTGCTGGGTCCACCGTGTGGCATTCGGGAGTCAGGATCTCCATTTGACGCATTTTTCTTTTCCGCTGCTTCCGGCTGCTCGGATACCCGCGCAACTTTTGAATCGTTTGACATGACATGGAGGAGAGGGGGGCGGGGCGGAGCACTACCTTTCGTATTTGTGCAACATCTCAATATTAAAAGTAGGCCAACCTACGGTCGGTCATCCCGTCCCTAATGGTGCAAGTACTTCCCTGATTCGAGAGTCATCCCATCCTTTCCTTGTTTCAGGCGCCTCACCCCGACCCAGGACCTCCGAGCCTAGCAGGACTACCGAGGCGATGCTCTCCGCGGGCAGGACGCCAGCGGCCCCCCGCGCCCCTAACCGGGCCGCGGGACGCGAGACGCACAAGGACCCAGAGCTGCAGGAGCAGGACGACGCCATTCGCCGTAAGTTTCACGGCGGCCGGCTGCTGTTGGTGCATGCAGGCGTGCGGGCGGGTTGCCTACGCTCTCGGACCCTCAAGGCGCCGTGCTCTCGTGGGTAGTCCACCCCGCCCCTCCGCCGGCATGCTCCGATGGCTCTCCCCCGCACCCACCCGGCTGGACCCGGTCCTTGAGGACTTCCTCTTCAATCCTTACCTATACCCGCCCTGCCCTGACCTGACTACGCCGATGAGCGCTCACGCTCCATACTCTCCTCCACAGCCGCCGCCCAGCCGCCTCCCACTGGTGTTCGCGGTGAGCGAGCGCAGGACGGAGAGGACCACGGCCTCCAGGGAGATGGCGGAGACGTGCCCCACCGCTGTGCGACCTGCAGGGCGGCCTTCAGGAGGGCGGCCCTCCTCCGGGCACACATGCGGAATCACGCCGCGGGTAAACTGGACGGCGGTAAACACTGCGGCGTCACTTCAGCGGCTGGTACCGACCTCCTTAGAAACGCGAGGACTCGCACAGGTGATAGGCCTTATGAATGTCAAACTTGCGGCAAAGGGTTTAGT